AGGCAGGGGGTGGCTCGGCGTTAATGAGGGGCGATGCTATCCCAGGGCAAGGGCAGGGTGGCCAGACTTTCTGGCAGCCAATGCTTGAAAAGACTCCGAAGGTTGTTTTGTTTCCTAGTGGGCAGGCATCTGTCATTCAAGCCCGGGGAAGCAGCTTAATAATAATAATAACAATAATAATAATAAAAGAAGCCCTCTGCATGTGTGTCTGTCTCCTCCAGCCCGGGACCAGGGGGAGCAGCAAAAGCAAACCCAAAGACCCCAGCCAGCGCCGGCGCAGCCTGGAGCCCACCGACAACACCCACCATGGGGGCTACCCGGCTTCGCAGACGCTGTGGGGGGGGTTATTGGTTGGGTCTTCCTGGGTTTGGTTCCAGCTTCTTCTTGTGATGATGGGGTCTCCTGGTTTTGAGGGACTCTTTCAGCTGGAAGGGGAGCAGATCTGTGTCTTACTGGTTGGTGGGAGGACGGTGGGAGAGGAGGGTCCCTGACGAGGGTCGCCCAGCACGGTGTTGCAGCAGTGCTGGTGGCTGTGCCCATCCTGAGGGGTCTCTGTCATAGGTGGAGTCACCACCTTCGTGGCCCTCTATGACTACGAATCCCGGACTGAAACGGACTTGTCCTTCAAGAAAGGAGAGCGCCTGCAAATCGTCAACAACACGTGAGTGTCCCCGTCCCTGCAGCCCAGCCCGCGTGGGGGAGCTGCCACCTTCGTCCCTCCTGCGGAGCCCCCAAGCCCAGCTCTCCCCGGGGATGGGTGCTCAAGGAGGGATGCTCCGGGTGATCCCTGCCTGGTCACCAGTGGTGCCACCCTTGGAGCTGCTCTGCCACGGATGCAGTGACTTGTCCAAGGACATCAGTGCTGGAGGCGATCATTTGCCCCCTCTCACATCCTCCCAGCCCCATTGCTCGTCACCATTGCCTTGCAGCCTTGTCACGAAGCCACCTCCTCTGCTTGCTGGCCAGTCCGTGCCCTCCAACGCGGGGCTGCGTCCACGCCGGCCCCCTGCCCCCATCAGCGCTCAGCTCCCTCTCGTTTGCTTGCACACATCTGCTCAGCCCCATGGGTGCTTTCCCCTGTGCTTGCACGGTGTCTCTGATCTCAGCTTCTCTCTTGACTCTTTTTTTCTCTCCTCTGTGCCATGCTGTCATTTAGGAGAAAAGTGGACGTCAGGTGTGTATTGCAGATTATTACTATTATTACTGTTAATGATCTTAAATGATAAAAGCCTGTCTGCTGCCTGCGTTAGGGCAAGGTTGGGTGGAGTGGGGCTGGGAGAGAGGGTCGCCCAACGGCTTTGCAGTTGATTGGGTTTGTCCTCCCTGAGCAACCAGGGCAGAGCAGGGAGCCCCTTCTGTGCCCAGGAACTGCTCCATCCAGAGCTGTCTCTGCACCGAGGAGCTCTGGACCTGGCCTGCTTTCCTCATCCATGCCTGGCACCTCTCTGCAGTCTCTTTTCAATTGGCTCTCTTGCTCCCTTCTGGCCTTTTTTGCATTTATTTTTGCATTTTTTAGTTTTATTTTTATTGTTTGTGAGTGGCTCAGGGGACTCAAGCTCTTCCTTAGGGGTCTGGCTTCTGCTTGTTTGCTCTCCATCCTGGTTGTAGCAGCGCACCCATGGCTCGCTGAGTGGAGCCGGGCAGCGTGACAAGCTGGAAGATGTTCCCAAACATGATCCTGTATTAAACCCATGTGTGGTCTGTCCTGACTCACGGCACACATGGTCTGCAGCGTCCTTCAGCTGCGCCACTGGAGGCCTGGCTGGCAGAGCCACTGTCCCCAGCGCTGCCGTGGGGTCCCTGGGGTCCGCAGCTCCTGCTGGCCCCTCCACTGCTGCCTTCCAACCTGGGCACCCAAAACAGCTTTGCAAAGTCAAAGGGTGGAAAGACAAGGGAATGTCCCGGGGCCGATATTTCTCCTGCAATGGTCAGGCAGTGTTGCACAAACGCATTTTCAATCTGATCCTTGTTCTCCATGTTCCAACGCTGTTTATTAATGGTGATTCATTTAATCCATGAAGTGCGGGATGTGCAGGGCTTCAATGCTGCAGGAAAAGCCTGAATTTGTGGGGCTTGGTGCTTCTTGCTTTCACAGCCTTGGCAGTGTACCAGCGCCAAGCTTGGGTTCTGGTTTGGGCTGTTACGAAGTGAGCTGTGCCCTTTGGGGACCCAGATTGGGCTCATATGTGAGGGTTTTTTCTTTATGCCTTATATCACTTCTAGGGTTTCCATACTTTTTTCCCTCTGCTGCTGTTTGTTAGAGGCTTGGTCAGAGGGAAGGGTCTGTGTGTGATGGGCTCTGCAGCATCCTGGGGAGCAAAAGGGCATTTTTGGGCGATGCAGCCCATGGGTGGAGTGTGCAGGATGTAGCTGCCGACCCTCCTGGTGTCTGCTGCGGCTGTGCAGGTGGGAGGTCCACAGGGAGAGAGGCAGTGGAGAAAGCTGTGCAGTTTGTGCAGTGCTCGGGAGGTAAATCTCTTCTCACTGAGTGCCCAGAGATGCTTGGATGGTCCGGGAGCAGCTTGGGCTGCCGTGCTTTGGGGACAGCAAAAGGCAGGCGTGCCATGTCCCCTTTCTCTGGGCTCGCTGAGAGGGCAGAGCCGGTGCCCTGGGGCTGTGTGGAGGGTGCTTAGGGTCAGCCCATGAAGGGCGGGCAGGTCCTGGGCGCAGGGGGAGCCCACAGCCACAGGGCTGACTGGCCACCAGTGGCTTTGCAGGGCGGCTGTGGGTTTTGGCCGCTCTAATGGGGCTGGGGTTACGCAGGGCAAGAGGAGAAGCCTCCGCATCGCTCACCTCCCTGCTCCTGTCTCCCGGCACAGCCCAGGCTGCCTGCGGTGTCCCTTGGCCTCCCGGATGGGCCAAATCCATCCACCCCAGTGCAGAAAGGCTCTTGTGGTACCGTTTCCAGCAGGAGGAGGTCTCCTCCCAGCCAGCTGGCAGCCAGTGGGGATGTGGTGGGGTATTTTGGGTAAAATTGTGCAGGGAATTGTTGAAATGCTTTGTTTTGATGATGATGATGATTATTATTTTTTTCCCCGCTGAGACATTTTTTGAATAGTTTGTTTTTGCCGAATTCCCAGCTTGTAGCCTTGCAGCCCAAGCTGGAATAAAGCCACAAGTCAAAAACTGGGCATTTCTCAAGCAGATGTTTTCTTTGGTGCCGTGGGAAAGGAGCCCAACCAGCCTCCTGTCCCCTTCGGAGCCACCCTAGTAAAGGTGACTGGGTCAGCAGCTCTGGATGGGGAGCCCGAGTTACCTGCCATGAGATGTGCTGGGACCGGGAGAAGTTAAAAGACCAGCTGGGGCTGCCGCAAGGCTGGGGAAGGGCTCTGGGTGGGCAGCAGAGCCTGGCTGGGTGGCTGGGAGATGCCCTGAGGGTCCCCACTTTCCCTGTCCCTGCTGGCACCGGCAGCTTCAAAGTATCACTGGTTTAGCTGGGACAAGCAAAAGGCACAAGCTGCTGGTGGGTCTGGAGTGAGAATGGAGGTTTACACGTCTGCAGGGGTCAGGGATTGGTCTGGACGTGGTCTGATGGATCTTCTAGGGGTGATTGAGGTTATTAAGGTTTGTCTGTAAAGTGTTTGTGGAAGTCGTCCTGCCAAGTTCTTGCATCCTTGTGGTGCTGTTCCCACAAATATGCAATTTTCCCATAGCCTCGTCTCCCTCGTGGTCAGGATAAATTAAGTGACTCCGTCTTTGCTGGGTGAGAAGATGCAGGTGGTGGGAGGAAGCCCTGCTGTCTGTGGGGAAGGGGAAACTGTCTCCCGCCATCCTGTTGTTCTTCTCTATTTATTGTCTTTTCCTGCCCCATCCCGAGCAGGAGCCTGAGGGGAGGAGGGCAGAGCCGTGAGAAGGCCCCCGTGCCCAACAGCTCCTGGGGACGGGCTTGGGGCTGCCGTGCCTGGGGCAGGAGGGACAGTGGGTCAGCCCTGGGGTTTTGGGGGTGGCACAGGGGCTCCCACAGAGCAGAGCCGTGCTCGGTTGTGGGTCAGCACAGTGGGGGCGTGTGGCTCCGTGCAAGCCGCACTTGTGGCTGTGCAGGCACGGCCCATGCTGGGGCTGCGGGGAAGCTCATGGTGGGGGGCTGCAGCCGTGCAGCCTGCCCGTCCTGCGGCTGCAAGTGGGGCACCCGAGCTGGACAGAGCCTGCTGCATCCAGGCTGGGCATCACTGCGGGGCAGTGCCCAAACCTCAGCCCTGTCCTGTTGCTTTTCTGCAGCCTGTGTTTAACAGACTCTCTTGGGTTTTCCTGGTGCTTTTTTTAATCACTGCCATCATTCTGTCGCTTGTCCCCGTTTCCCCTCCTTCCCCCTTGCCTGTTGCTACCGTGACGCCTTGGATCCCCTGTGCCCCTCAACCTCCAGCCAGACCCCATTCGCATTCAGGTGGCTCCAAAGGTATTTTGGCTCCCTGGCTGCCTGCCCTGCCCGATTTAAGTTTAAGGCATCCCATATGCAGATGGGTGGCCTCAATACCAGGAACTTGCCCAAACGGAGCCACGGGCAGGGGCTGGCAGAGGAGGCCCCCTGTTGGTTCTCTTGCAGGGAAGGTGACTGGTGGCTGGCTCATTCCCTCACTACAGGACAGACGGGCTACATCCCCAGTAACTATGTCGCGCCCTCAGACTCCATCCAGGCTGAAGAGTAATTGCCATCTTTTAGACAGTTTAAAGACGAGCGATAGCAAACGCACCCTGGGCGCTCCTCCCGCCCCCTGCCCCTCTCCTGGGCAAAGCCCGCAAGGCCTCTGGGGTTTTCCTTTTTGTTGTTTTTCCCCTTTGAATCTGCAAGCCCCTTGAATTCTTTCCAGCCTTTCTTTAAGGCCCCTAGAATGCGGAGGCGCAGCGTGCTTGTGTGGTGGAGGGATGAGCGGTGGCGTAGCTGGGGCCATGCTGGTCCTAATGCTTTTGGGCTGGTGGTTACTCATGGCATGCACCCATGCGTGAGGATGCTGCTGGCACCGCCTGTGCGGATCAGGCTGAGCGTAGAGGCAACATGAGGAGAGCAGGCAGGGGCAAAGCCGGCTGTAAGTCCCAGAGCAGGAGGTGCCAGCTACGTCCCTGCAGCCCATCCCCAGCCTGCGGCATGGTGTCCCCCCCAGCAAGAGCTCGGGGGGCTTCAGGGGTCCCTGGAGCCCCTCATTTGGGCAGGCTTTTGGAGTGAAGGAGTTTCATGGAGCATGGTGCAGTGTTGTTCCTTGGGTGATGCCCAAGGATGCACCCTGGGGTGCCCGAGCCTGGAGGTGCAGCCTCTGCTCTCCGAAACCTGTGGGGGGGTCTTCCGGGGCTGAGCCTGCTGCTTGGACAGGCAATGGAGGGGTGGGCAACTGCTGGGTGCTGAGCTGGTGCCTTGCTCTTGCAGGTGGTATTTTGGGAAGATCACTCGCCGGGAGTCCGAGCGGCTGCTGCTCAACCCCGAAAACCCCCGAGGGACCTTCCTGGTCCGGGAGAGTGAGACCTCCAAAGGTGAGTGGGTCTGGGGAGGGTCAGCCTGGGGGAGCCCCTCTCTGGGGGGTGTGTGGGCATCTGCACGGGGTCCCTGGTCCCCTTGGTCACTCTGCGCCATCCCGGTTCCCCCAGCTTAGGTCATGGGGAAGGAGGAGAGAAGAGTCGTACCTTGTAGACAGGAGCCAACATTTGGGGTCACTGAGCCTGGGGTCTCCCCTGCGGGTTCTGGTCCCCAGGGAACAGGTGCTGATGAACCCGTTAAATCACCAGTGATGTCTCCGTGTCGAGTGCACCGTTAAATCAGTGCGCCTCCCGCCACGGAGGAACGCAGCCGCTTCGCTCAGATGCTGCCTGCCCAGTGGTTGCCCTTCAAAGAGATGGTTCAGTTCATGGCAGGGTGGGAGCTGGGTGCCCCACCAGTTCCAGCAGGACCACCAGGCAGGACGCTCTTGTTCCCTGGTTGTTTTGGGTTTTTTTCCCACCCCCAAGTAGGTGTGCTTTGTTTTCTCCTGGTCCCTATATAGTGGCAAAATCTTGAACATGTGCTCCCTGGGCAACCAGGCAGAAGTAGTGATGAACCTTTGGGTCCTTCTTTCAAGTCTAACGACTCCTTATACTTGTTTTGTGCCTCCTGAAAGTGCAAATTGTGATCTACACGGTTCAGCTGCCTGAGGATGCTGTTTCTTACCTGGAAATGTGGTTTAGTTTGGCTCCAAATGCACCTTTGGGAAAAGCTCCTTGAAGTTCCTTTCTATTTTGATGTCTTGAACTTACCACTGTGTATTTTATTCTGGTGGAAACAGCTCATTCAAGCAGCAGCATAAATCTTCCTTTCTGTTATTCGTGGCCCCAGCAGCGCGGTGTTGCTCTCGTGTGGGCAGAGCAGAGACAAGCTCTCAAAGTGATGCCCACAGTGGGATTTGTGGAGGAGGGAATCAGGCCCACCAGCCCCTTGGCTCCCCTCTGAGGTGCCGAGATGTTGGGGTTGTGGGTCAGCAGCTCCCCACAGCCTGCCTCGCATCCGGTCCTCTCCCCTGCTTCGGTGTCCCCTCTTTGCCACCAGAGCCATGCTTGTCCCTGTGCCCTGGGCGCTGCTCGCCCTCCTGCCCGCTGGGCTCCCCCAGACCCAGTGGGGTCTCTTCTTCAGTGCCAGCCTGGGGGGCACAGTCCATCCCCACCGTGCTGGCTCTGCCGAGCCGTGGTGGCCTCTGCGTGTCCCGGCTAAGCCGAGAGCAGCGTTCATTGCTGAGGAAGCAGCAGTGGTGCTGTGTGCCGCTTGTTGCCAGAGCAAAGGACCCGGCAGGGCTGGGGGGGCTGGAGGGGGTGATGCTCCATGTCAGCACATCCCGTGGGGGCACTATGATGGCTCTCGGCTGCTGAGGCAGGAGAAGCAGCAGGGACCCGTGCCCAGATGACTGACCCGACAGCCACCTTCTTCTGCAGTGGGGGGGTCTCTGGGAGACCCCCCCGCCTCCACGCTGGCCCAGGTGGTGCAAGGCTCAGCAGAGCTGCCATGCAGGTGGGGACGGCTGGAGGCTGTGATTACATGGCGTGGCTGTAGCCAGGGGTACGTCCCATCCCTCCCTAGCACGAGGTACCAGCTTGTGCAGCCAGGAGCTGCTCCCCGTCCTCTGCTTTTGGGTGAAAGCAGCAGCCTGCACGCCCAACCCTGCTCCCCCATGCCCACCCCCTGGCAGGACCCCATGGGAAGCACCCGTCTGTGGTGCATCTCCCCCCCAGCCCCTTGTCCCGCCCGCAGGTGCCTACTGCCTCTCCGTCTCTGACTTCGACAACGCCAAGGGGCTCAACGTGAAGCACTACAAGATCCGCAAGCTGGACAGTGGCGGCTTCTACATCACCTCCCGCACCCAGTTCAACAGCCTGCAGCAGCTGGTGGCCTATTACTCCAGTGGGTACTTGGGGTCCCCTTGGGGTCTGGGTGACACCCTGGGTGTTGTGCCTGCCCTTGTGGCAGGATTGGTGCTGCTGGGAATCTAGTGTGGGGCTGGGGGACCCCAAACTTTCTGGGGGAGACCTTAGTGAAAAGCTGCTTGGGTTTTAGGGGAGAGGGTGAGGGTTTGGCTACGGGTCCCCAAGGTGTTTTGCAGGGAAGATGTGGGGTAAAGACATCACGTGCCTAAATGCCCAAGTGTCACCCTTGTGTTGTCCCCTTCTCTGCTAGAACACGCTGACGGCTTGTGCCACCGTCTCACCAACGTCTGCCCCACTTCCAAGCCCCAGACCCAAGGTCTCGCCAAAGATGCCTGGGAAATCCCCCGGGAATCGCTGCGGCTGGAGGTCAAGCTGGGGCAGGGCTGCTTCGGAGAGGTGTGGATGGGTAAGGACCGCTTGCGCCCTGCTATCCCCCTGGTGTCGCCACCTGCATCCACTCCCCAGCCATCTGCAGGTGCCCAAAGCCTGCAGTGGGGTGGGGGAGCAGGCAAGGGACATGTCCCCTGCCCTGTTAACGTGTCCTGAGCGGCGTGTCCTGTGCTGCAGGGACCTGGAATGGCACCACCCGGGTGGCGATCAAGACGCTGAAGCCCGGCACCATGTCCCCAGAGGCCTTCCTGCAGGAAGCCCAGGTCATGAAGAAGCTCCGTCATGAGAAGCTGGTTCAGCTCTACGCCGTGGTTTCGGAGGAGCCCATTTACATCGTCACCGAGTACATGAGCAAGGGTGAGCATGGGAGGGGTGCCAGGGGAGCAGCCGAGGGGCTCTGCTCCTCCAGATCACCGTGACTGTGGTCTTCCTCGCAGGGAGCCTTCTGGACTTCCTGAAGGGCGAGATGGGCAAGTACCTGCGGCTGCCCCAGCTCGTGGATATGGCGGCTCAGGTGAGTTTGCTCATCCCTGGGCCTCTTGCATCCCCCTCTGAGGGTGCTGGCTGCCCAAGCACCTTGGTGGGCTGTCGTCGCTGTCGCCTGTCGGGAGGTGGGGTGCTTGCAGCCTCGCTTGGCTCGTGTTGGGTGCCACCGTCCCCGCTGGGAGCTCAGCCTGGAGCTGGGTTGCAGTCAGGGACCATCATTTTGCCCGTTCCCATTGCTGCTGGCTCTCCCTGGCCAGCAAACCTGTGTCTGCATGGGTTTTCTTGAGCAAGCGGCTGTTTCTGCACCCTGGGTTGGGTCCCACTGCAGAGCCATTCCCCCCGGTGGTGCCAGGCGCTCCCTGGGGACCCTCAGCTCCCCCCGCTAGCCTCAGTGCCCCATGTCCCGGTCCCTGCAGATTGCATCTGGCATGGCCTACGTGGAGAGGATGAACTACGTCCACCGGGACCTCCGGGCAGCCAACATCCTCGTGGGGGAGAACCTGGTGTGCAAAGTGGCTGACTTCGGCTTGGCGCGCCTCATTGAGGACAACGAGTACACCGCTCGGCAAGGTGCGTGCCCGGGGCTGCCGGCAGCGTGCCCACGCAGGTCACCCTGCCTCTCCATCCAGGCGCAAAGTTCCCCATCAAGTGGACAGCCCCCGAAGCTGCTCTGTACGGCAGGTTTACCATCAAGTCGGATGTCTGGTCCTTCGGCATCCTCTTGACCGAGCTGACCACCAAGGGCAGAGTGCCATATCCAGGTGAGGTCTGGCACCTGCCAGCGGAAACCCTGTCCCCGTTGTGGTACCCCAACGCCAGCCGCCTTCGCCCAGTGCTCGCCCCTGGTGCTCCGTGGCCCCCAGAGCCATCTTTGCAGAGGAGCAAACTGATGCAAAGTTTCTCCTGTAATTCAGGGAGGGAGGGCAGGCTCGGGGCTGAGCTGCCCCTACCCAGGTTGGATCCTGCCCTGCTGGGGCAGGGTCAGCAGAGCCTGGCCAGGATGCAGGGTCACAGCTGCCCTGTCCTGCTCTGGTCTCCAAGCAAGGTGACAGGCTGGCGGGG